TCCAGCTGGCGGAGTACCCTGGGCTGCAGCACCTGGAGGCCCTCCAGCTGGCGGAGAACCCTGGGCTGCAGCACCTGGAGCCCCTCCAGCTGGCGGAGAACCCTGGGCTGCAGCACGTGGAGGCCCTCCAGCGGGTGGAGAACCCTGGGCTGCAGCACCTGGAGGCCCTCCAGCGGGTGGAGAACCCTGGGCTGCAGCACCTGGAGGCCCTCCAGCTGGTGGAGAACCCTGGGCTGCAGCACCTGGAGGCCCTCCAGCTGGTGGAGAACCCTGGGCTGCAGCACCTGGAGGCCCTCCAGCTGGTGGAGAACCCTGGGCTGCAGCACCTGGAGGCCGTGTCTTAATCCCGCCTCACCCCGTTAAAATACAACCTATTTTCCAACCTGAAGTCTGAAATGGCTCAGCAGTTCGTGAATTTTAGGAAGATAAAACAATCATACATTTTTCATTGTTTATTAAAAATTGAGGTAAAGTTGAGATGAGCGCAGTTGACTTGTTTATATAATTCTCTTCAACTTTCTTCACCTCATTAATAATACTCAAATACGTGAGTATTGCGGCCATTTTGAAAAAAAAAATACTTGACGCATTTTCTTTCAGTTTAAAAATAACCAGCATTTTGCGTCATTTTATAATCATCGTACGTATGTACTTGGCGTACGTACGATGAAGTACAATATATTCAGTAATACTCAAAATACGTGAAAAAAAAAGTCCTAATTTCAAACAGAACATTAACGTATTTTACTTAATGTTAAGACATATTTTTACCTCGGTAGCAGCAAGTTAGTGTTCAATGTTACCCACAATGCTCTACATTATAATATATAATTATAATCTACATCACCGGAGATTATCCTTATGTCTTGATAAATGTTTACACTCCTGCACCAGCCATGAACCTTGTAGAAATACACACAGCCTCCCAAAATAGCCGCAAGTCTACACGGGGAGGTTTAGAGAAGTTACGTATTACTACAGAAGACCTACGAATGTAAGTGATCCTAGTGGTTATAATTATAACTATGATTTATAAAGAGGTGGACGGGTAAGCCAGCGGAAGTCCTCGGTCAGTTGACCAGAAGCTCCAGCTGTGGGTCATCATATAAGACCCTCTCGTCAGGAAACACTTGTCCTGTGTCCTGACGAGCGTTATGCTTACCTAAAGGACACTTGTTTATTACGACTTCTCTGCTGTGCGAGGCTTTAAGGAACGTGTTACTCACACGAAGTAAATACTGACCTTTTTGTTACTCTTTTTCCCCTCAAGGAAGGTTCCTTGATGTTGGTGAGGGGCTCTTGATTTAGGGAATTGGATCTGTGCTCCAGTTCCCCGAATTAAGCCTGAATGCCTTCCACATCCCCCCCCCAGGAGCTGTATAATCCTCCGGGTTTAGCGCTTCCCCCTTGATTATAATAATAATAATAATGTTACGCCTTTTCAGTTATTCCAAACTTAATTGAGACTCTCGATAATAATTTATAACAAAGGAGACCTTTTTTCTACGATTTTCAACTTCACGACCCCACCTCAAGGGAGGTTCCTTGATGGTTAGGTAAGACACATATGCAACAGTTAGGTATCTTTATTTCGAAACGTTTCGCCTACACAGTAGGCGAAACAGTTTCGAAATAAAGATACCTAACTGTTGCATATGTGTCTTACCTAACAATCTGTCGGTATTTTATACCATTTTAATGTTCAGGTTCCTTGATGCTGGTGAGGGGGCTCTTGATCTAGGGAATTAGATCTGTGCTCCAGTTCCTTGAATTGAGCGCCTTCCACCCCCCCCCCGGAACTGTATAATCCCTACGGGTTTAGCGCTCCCCCATGATAATACTAATAATAATAATAATAATAATAATAATAATAATAATTTATCTTAATAATAATTTATCTTAATAATAATATTATCTTAATAATTATAATAATTTATCTTCAGGAAGCTTTATCAAGATGGTCTATCAAACCTCGTTTAGGCGAAATATTGCAATAAAAATCTCTCCTCCTGCTCTGTTTTGTACAACTCTTGTTAACTACGCTAACCTGCGAGGAGTTGTAGTAGTCAACCTGCGAGGAGTTGTAGTAGTCAACCTGCGAGGAGTTGTAGTAGTCAACCTGCGAGGAGTTGTAGTAGTCAACCTGCGAGGAGTTGTAGTAGTCAACCTGCGAGGTGTTGTAGTAGTCAACCTGCGAGGAGTTGTAGTAGTCAACCTGCGAGGAGTTGTAGTAGTCAACCTGCGAGGAGTTGTTGTAGTCAACCTGCGAGGAGTTGTAGTAGTCAACCTGCGAGGAGTTGTAGTAGTCAACCTGCGAGGAGTTGTAGTAGTCAACCTGCGAGGAGTTGTAGTAGTCAACCTGCGAGGAGTTGTAGTAGTCAACCTGCGAGGAGTTGTAGTAGTCAACCTGCGAGGAGTTGTAGTAGTCAACCTGCGAGGAGTTGTAGTAGTCAACCTGCGAGGTGTTGTAGTAGTCAACCTGCGAGGAGTTGTAGTAGTCAACCTGCGAGGAGTTGTATAGTCAACCTGCGAGGAGTTGTTGTAGTCACCTGCGAGGTGTTGTAGTAGTCAACCTGCGAGGTGTTGTAGTAGTCAACCTGCGAGGAGTTGTAGTAGTCAACCTGCGAGGAGTTGTAGTAGTCAACCTGCAAGAGTTGGAGTAGTCAACCTGCGAGGAGTTGTAGTAGTCAACCTGCGAGGAGTTGTAGTAGTCAACCTGCGAGGAGTTGTAGTAGTCAACCCTGCGAGGAGTTGTAGTAGTCAACCTGCGAGGAGTTGTAGTAGTCAACCTGCGAGGAGTTGTAGCAGTCAACCTGCGAGGAGTTGTAGTAGTCAACCTGCGAGGAGTTGTAGTAGTCAACCTGCGAGGAGTTGTAGTAGTCAACCTGCAAGGAGTTGGAGTAGTCAACCTGCGAGGAGTTGTAGTAGTCAACCTGCGAGGAGTTGTAGTAGTCAACCTGCGAGGAGTTGTAGTAGTCAACCTGCGAGGAGTTGTAGTAGTCAACCTGCGAGGAGTTGTAGTAGTCAACCTGCGAGGAGTTGTAGCAGTCAACCTGCGAGGAGTTGTAGTAGTCAACCTGCGAGGAGTTGTAGTAGTCAACCTGCGAGGAGTTGTAGTAGTCAACCTGCAAGGAGTTGGAGTAGTCAACCTGCGAGGAGTTGTAGTAGTCAACCTGCGAGGAGTTGTAGTAGTCAACCTGCGAGGAGTTGTAGTAGTCAACCTGCGAGGAGTTGTAGTAGTCAACCTGCGAGGAGTTGTAGTAGTCAACCTGCAAGGAGTTGTAGTAGTCAACCTGCGAGGAGTTGTAGTAGTCAACCTGCGAGGAGTTGTAGTAGTCAACCTGCGAGGAGTTGTAGTAGTCAACCTGCGAGGAGTTGTAGTAGTCAACCTGCGAGGAGTTGTAGTAGTCTATGGTGTGATGATGGTGTTACTACTGTAAACTCTATGAGGAGTTATAATAGGCTATGGTGTGATGATGGTGTTACTACTGTAAACTCTATGAGGAGTTGTAATAGGCTATGGTGTGATGATGGTGTTACTACTGTAAACTCTATGAGGAGTTATAATAGGCTATGGTGTGATGATGGTGTTACTACTGTAAACTCTATGAGGAGTTGTAATAGGCTATGGTGTGATGATGGTGTTACTACTGTAAACTCTATGAGGAGTTATAATAGGCTATGGTGTGATGATGGTGTTACTACTGTAAACTCTATGAGGAGTTATAATAGGCTATGGTGTGATGATGGTGTTACTACTGTAAACTCTATGAGGAGTTATAATAGGCTATGGTGTGATGATGGTGTTACTACTGTAAACTCTATGAGGAGTTGTAATAGGCTATGGTGTGATGATGGTGTTACTACTGTAAACTCTATGAGGAGTTGTAATAGGCTATGGTATGCGTTATACTAGGTTCTCAACATATGCTGCTACGTATGATAATCTATGTAACTGTATTTGTGTATACCTGATTAAACGTACTTACTTACTGTGGACAGTGTTGACTACACTGAACTCTGCGAGTTGTAATAGGCTATGGTATGGGACTAGTAGCTTCTTCAACTATCTGGAGTAGGCTGCACTTCCAGATCTTGCATGTAGGTTACCAGACTTACTGAGACATCTCTCGCTCACTGTGCTGCCTCACTTATAATTCAGTAGTACTACCTGTGTTTTCTGCCTGAATTGGATGCATCGGTAGTGTGCTGCTGCTGCTGCTCTGTTCTATGTATGGTTACATAGCGGCAACAGAAGACTTTACGTGTGTACTGTTGTTAGTAGGGCTGTATGTTGATAGGAAGGTTGGTGTTGATGGTTTGTCTATATTTGGAGGGGTGCTGGTAGGGATGGATAAGATGTTTGATGGTGATGGAAGGGATGTTGGTAGGAGGAGTAGTAGGAATGATGCTGGTAGTGAATGAATGATTCGTTGCCCCAGGATAGTTGTGGTGGTGGTGGAAGTAATGATGATGGAATTGTGGTAGTGAAGGTGGTGATGGTAGCTTGGATCACAGGTTCTCTAATAACACAGTTCGCCTCGCTGCCTTCCACATGCACACATGATTTGACAGTAGGCCTACTGGTGCCAGCTTGGGCCTTCCTGGCCTCCTTACACCACACAGTCTAGATTGCTGCCTCCCACATATTGATTCCTGGCATGGCTGTCACCCTCACCAGCACCACCCACAACCCCCACGCCCACATTAATCTACCCACACTCCCATAAAACAAGAATCCCACGTTCTTTGCTTTACAGTTAAATGGGGGATATTTAGGACTGGGAGAGGGAGAGGAGATGGGAGACCATGGGCGGGGAAGACTCTGGTAAAAATCGCAGTGTGAGGTTCTGTGGGCGGCGCGGGCGTGGAGTTGCGTACAAGGTCTGAGCCACCCGGGCCTGGCCCTCTATATCGATTTCGCCAACTCCCCACAGATGTGTCCCTCTCTCTGATTGGAGGAGAGTTGGCATTGATCAGCGGAGGGACCAATGGCGGGATGTGTTAGAGTGCTGGTATGTAGGCTACTGGTGTTGAGGGAATCTGTGTGCTGGAGAAGCAAGAAGTCTCCCAAGCACGGGGCTTTTCCTCAGACAGCAGCCGCCACAGTCGCTGAGTAACCTAGGAGTGTAATTTGGGTGTTTAGGGCGGGCAGAGAGTGCCAGCAGTGCCCTGGACACTAAGCTCTACAGTGTCATAGTCTACCACTGTGGTGGCACTGTATTGATTTTCCAGTGTGAGGCTACCATCTTTCAGTGCAGCGGCAGGCGGCCACACTCCAGCATGCACTCGTAAAACATTCGCCCACTCTCACACTCCAACAACCACTAGCACCCCTCTCACTCCTCTCCAAAAGCTAAGCAGGTGAGTGGGCAAGCCTGCCCAAGACGGCAAAGGGGTAATCAGAGGGCAGGGATGAGCAGTTCAGAAGGTATATTTGTGAAACAGTGGGCGAGGGATGAGGCAATGGTGCCTAGGTCAGCTGGTCTCCGCCAACCTACCCACCAGCCGGAAATCCAACATACGTTTGCGTGGTAAAACGCGTCATTCGCTGCCCATACATAGTGCGGTGTGTGGCTCACAACATGTGTGGTTTAAACAGTGTGTGGAGAACAGAGTAGTGGCCAGCCGTAGGAAAATGGTGCATGTTAATCAATGAAGTCTTTGGTTGTCCTGAGTTGGTGGGTGTTAGTGTGTTGGTTGGTGTTACATTGTGTGTTGTGGGTGTTACACTGTGTGTTGTGGTGGGTGTTACACTGTGTGTTGTGGTGGGTGTTACACTGTGTGTTGTGATGGGTGTTACACTGTGTGTTGTGATGGGTGTTACACTGTGTTAGTAGTGGCTGTTACACTGTGTGTTGTGGTGGGTGTTACACTGTGTGTTGTGGTGGGTGTTACACTGTGTTAGTGGTGGGTGTTACACTGTGTTAGTAGTGGCTGTTACACTGTGTGTTGTGTGGGTGTTACACTGTATTGTGGTGCATGTTATACTGTGTTAGTGGTGGGTGTTACATTGTGTGCTGGTGGGTGTTACACTGTGTTGTGGTGGGTGTTACACCGTGTTAGTGGTGGGTGTTACACTGTGTGTTAGTGGTGGGTGTTACACTGAGTGTTGGTGGTGGGTGTTACACTGAGTGTTAGTGGTGGGTGTTACATTGTGTGTTGGTGGGTGTTACACTGTGTTGTGGTGGGTGTTACACCGTGTGTTAGTGGTGGGTGTTACACTGTGTGTTAGTGGTGGGTGTTACACCGTGTGTTAGTGGTAGGTGTTACACTGTGTGTTAGTGGTGGGTGTTACACTGAGTGTTAGTGGTGGGTGTTACACTGTGTGTTGTGGTGGGTGTTACACTATGTATTGTGGTGCGTGTTACACTGTGTTAGTGGTGGGTGTTACATTGTGTGTTGGTGGGTGTTACACTGTGTATTGTGGTGCGTGTTACACTGTGTTAGTGGTGGGTGTTACATTGTGTGTTGGTGGGTGTTACACTGTGTTGTGGTGGGTGTTACACCGTGTGTTAGTGGTGGGTGTTACACTGTGTGTTAGTGGTGGGTGTTACACTGAGTGTTAGTGGTGGGTGTTACATTGTGTGTTGTGGTTGGTGCTACACTGTGTGTTAGTGGTGGGTGTTACACAGTGTTGGTGGGTGTTACAATGTGTGTTTGTGAGTGTTACACTGTGTTTTGGTGGTGGGTGTTACATTGTGTTGGTGGGTGTTACACTATGTTGGTGGGTATTACACTGTGTATTGGTGATGGGTGTTACATTATGTGTTGGTGGTGGGTGTTACACTGTGTGCTGCTGGTGGGTGTTACACTGTGTGTTTGTGAGTGTTACGCTGTGTATTGGTGGTGGGTGTTATATTGTGCTGGTGGGTGTTACACTATGTGTTGGTGAGTGTTACACTGTGCTGGTGGTGGGTGGTACACTGTGTGTTGGTGGTGGGTGGTACACTGTGTGTGTGGTGGGTGTTACATTGTTGGTGGTGGTGTGTGGGGTTTTTACACTGTGTGCTGGTGGTGTGTGTTACACTGTGTGTTGGTGGTGGGTGTTACACTGTGTGTTGGTGGGTGTTACACTGTGTTGGTGGGTGTTACACTGTGAGTTGGTGGGTGTTACACTGTGTGTTGGTGGGTGTTACACTGTGTGTTGATGGGTGTTAGACTGTATTGGTGGTGGATGTTACACTGTGTTAGTGGTGGGTGTTACACTGTGTTGGTGGGTGTTACACTGTGTGTTGGTGGGTGTTATACTGTGTTAGTGGTGGGTGTTACACTGTGTGTTGGTGGGTATTACACTGTGTTAGTGGTGGGAGTTACACTATGTTAGTGGTGGGTGTTACACTGTGTGTTGGTGGGTGTTATACTGTGTGTTAGTGGTGGTGTGTGTTACATTGTGTGTTGGTGGGTATTGCACTGTTAGTGGTGGGTGTTAGTGTTAATGGTGGGTGTTACATTGTGTTAGTGGTGGGTGTTACACTGTGTGTTGGTGGGTATTGCACTGTTAGTGGTGGGTGTTAGTGTTAATGGTGGGTGTTACATTGTGTTAGTGGTGGGTGTTACACTGTGTGTTGGTGGGTATTGCACTGTTAAGTGTTTGGTGTTTTGTGTTAATGGTGGATGTTACATTGTTAGTGGTGGGTTACATTGTGTTAATGGTGGGGTTACACTGTGTGTTGGTGGTGGTGTTATCTGTGTTGTGTGATGTGGTGTTACATGTGTGTTTGGTGGTAGGGTACTGATATGCTGGTGTTACACTAGTGTGTTGGGGTGGGTTTTACACTATGTGTTTGTGGTGGGTGTTACACTGTGTGTTGGTGGTAGGTGTTACACTGTGTTGGTGGGTGTACAACTGTGCTGGTGAGTGTTACACTGTGCTGGTGGGTGTTACACTGTGCTGGTGAGTGTTACACTGTGCTGGTGGGTGTTACACTTTTTTGGTGGGTGTTACACTGTATTACAATATTTCTGGTGTTTAGCTGTGTGTCTGGTGAATGTTACACTGTGCTGGATGTTACAATATGTCTGATGGGTTTACACTGTGTGTCCTGTGGGTATTATTCTCTGTTAGTGTTACAGTGTGTGTGTCTAGTGTGTTAATAGAACGGAATATGATACGGAAATATAGATGTAATCGCAAAAGAAAAGACGTGAGCTAAAGGACTGGAGAGCGGAAGAGCCTCCACAACTTATAGCTATCACAGAGACAAAATTCTCAGGGATGATATCCGATGAAATATTTCCAGAGGAGTAAATCATTGTAAGGAAGGGAGAGAGAGAGAGAGAGAGAGAGAGAGAGAGAGAGAGAGAGAGAGAGAGAGAGAGAGAGAGAGAGAGAGAGAGAGAGAGAGAGAGAGAGAGAGAGAGAGAGAGCGGTAATTACGACCAGGGGAAGCCAATGTAGTAACGAAGCAGTGACTGAAAACAGGAGACACTGCCGGTAGCACTAGGGACGGGCAGTGACATAATACACGTCCAATGGAAAGTAATTCAGAGGATGGGACCATTGTTCCTAAGGATAGACATGGTTGACTAGCTCGTGCTGGTCCTGAGTGGTGGTAGTGAAGATAAAGGTATTGGGGGTGGTGATGAGAACGAGTGTTGTGGTGGTTGAAGATGGATGGTGTTGTGGTGAGGCAGTGGTGGGTGGATGGGGTACATGATGTGATGGTGGGGATTATGGTGGAGATGGAACTTTGATAGTGGAGGGTAGTGGTGATGATGGTGGGGGTAGTTGATATACTGTTGTGGTCTGTGAGGATGGTGGTGATGGATAGTAATGGGATGATGCCAGTGAATGAGGTGGTATGTAGGATGATAAATGGCAGTGGAGATAATAGGAGTAACAGTTGTTAGGGAGGGGGAGGGTAGAGGTGGTGGTGGTGGTGGTGGTGGTGGTGGTGGGTGATGTGATTGTGGGTGTCGTAGTGGTGGTGGTGGTGGTAGTGAATGGAGGTTTGTGGGTGTGGTATTAGTGAGAAGATTTGGTACTGGTGAGGTATTGGTAGTTGTGGTTGGGGCTAGTGGGGGTGTGGTAATGGATTTAGGGGTGGTGGGCGGGTATTTGTGAGGGGTGGTGGTGGTTAGGGTGGTTGGTGTAGACGGAAGTGGGTGTGGTGGTAGAGGTGGTAGATAGTGGTTGTTATGTGTACACCCACAGTGTGTTACCACAGCTTTCTTTGTGATAGTTACAGAGTATAAACACCTGTTGTGTACACTAAGTGTACATATACATATATTTGGTGCACGAAAGACATTCCTGTAATCATATTAGTTAGCTGTAAGTACGGTAACCAGTGCCATCTAGTAGTGGTATTCAACCTTAGATCGTCTGGTAACTGCCAGGTTGCTGCGGCATTCTGACTTATTGGGGAAAAGTTGAGGAGATAGTTCGATTACTTCGTTTGTGGTCAGTGTTCCAGCCCTCTAAGACTCTCTTAGACTATCATCTAGCAGTAAGCGCCTTTAAGAATCTCTTTTATATACACGATTATATCCGAGTCTAACTTCTTTCCTTGTTGAGTTGTATTTGTTGCTGTTAAGTTGTTTATATCACAACACAGCGTTACTGCAGATATACAACTGTAGTTCTGGAGTTATAAAAGCACTTCACCTCTCCATCACATAGGTTTACATTCCATCACACAAGGATGGGTTGACACTACAACACAGAATGGGTTTACACTCCGTCACAAAAGATGGGTTTACACTTCATTACACAGGATGGGTTTACACTCTTCGCACAAGATGAGTTTACTTCTGAGGTTATGAAATCCATCATCCTGAATTGATCGACTTGAGTAACCCTATAAGAATATCATGAGACATCCCACTATGTGTTCAGTAACTCCAGTAGCTCCGAAGGTTTCCTTCCAGCAGGGCTTGAGTCGAAGAAGACTACCCAAATAACCCTCTCATAGGAGAGAGGAGCTTACGACGACGTTACGGTCCGACCTGGACCATTTACAAAGTCACACTTCGGACCGAAACGTAGTCGTAAACTCTACTCTCCTATGTGCGGGTTATATATGTATTGTTCCAGTCACGGTATTGTACCTTTGTGCTCCTTACGCAGATTATTAACACAGAGGGTTAATAACCCAGAGGGTTAATAATCTGTGAGTTTTAGGAATCACTTTCCATGGAGTTCAAACCCCATCCGTTCCGTGATTACACACACTTGCAATGTTAGGAAACTATTAAGGAGTAGAGTCAGTCATTAACTCAGTACGGAGTTAATGACTGACTTGTATATATACTAGACTGTGGAAGAAATCACAATAAACGCGTGACTGCAAATATGAGCAAAAATAACAGCGAAAATAGGAAATAATGTCTGAGCGTTTTCATGTGTTTACACACATCCT